CCTCAGGTGATTCACCCACCTTGGCCTCCCAAAGTGCTAGGAATACAGGGGTGAGCCACTGCACCCAGCCCTTTTGCCTATTTCTTAAACAGATTTTCAGATTTTTTTTTATGGAGTTGTTTGAGTTCCTTGTATATCCTGAAAATAAATCCCTTGTCAGATGAATAGTTTGCAAACATTTTCTCCCATTATATGGGTTGTCTCTTTACTCTGTTTCCTTTGCTGTGAAGAAGGTTTACAGTTTCCCTTGCTGTGAAGGCTTTTAACTTTATATGATCCCAGTTTTCCATTTTTGCTTTTGTTGCCTGTGCTTTTGAGGTATTGCTCAAGAAATCTTTGCCCAGATCAATGTCCTGGAGAGTTTTCCTAATGTTTTCTTTTAGTAGATTTTTAGTTTCAGATCTTTTTTTTTTGTATAAGGTGAGAAACAGGGGTCTAGTTTCATTCTTCTGCATTTGGATATCCAGTTTTCCCAGGACCATTTCTTGAAGAGACTACACTTTCCCCAATGTATGTTTCTTGGCATCTTTGTTTAAAATGAGTTCACTCTAGATGTATGAACTGATTTCTGAGTTTTTTATTCTGTTCCATTGGTCCATGTGTCTGTTTTTATGCCACTGCCATGCTGTTTTGGTTACTATAGCACTGTAGTATAATTTGAAGTCAGGTAATGTGATTCTTCCAGTTTTGTTCTTTTTGCTCAGGATGCTTTGTTTATACTTGGTCTTTTGTGGTTTCATATAAATTTTAAGATTTTTTTTTCTATTTATGTGAAAAATGTTATTAGTATTTTGATAGAGATTGCATTGAATCTGTAGATTGCTTTGGGTAGTATAGACATTTTAATGATGTTAATTCTTCTAATCCATAAACATAGATTATCTTTCCTTTTTTGTGTCCTTTCCAATTTCTTGCATCAATGTTTTATAGTTTTCATTTAAAGAACTTTGACTTCCTTGGTTCAGTTTATGTCTAAGTATTTAATTTGTAGCAATTGTAAAATGAGTTACTTTCTTATTTTGTGAAGTTGTTTGCTGTTGGCATATAGAAATGCCACTGATTTTTGTATTTTGATTTTTGCGTCCTGCAAATTTACTGACATTGTTTATGAATTCATTTTTTTTCCCATTTATTTATTTTATTGCATTTTAGGTTTTGGGGTACATGTGAAGAACATGCAAAATTGTTGCATAGGAACAGACGTGGCAGTGTGATTTGCTGCCTCCTCCCCATCACCTACATCTGGCATTTCTCCCCTTGCTATCTCTCCCCAGCTTCCCACCCCCCACCGTCCCTCCCCTATTTCCCCCCAACTGACCCCAGTGTGTAGTGCTCCCCTCCCTGTGTCCATGTGTTCTCATTGTTCAACACCCGCCTATGAGTGAGAACATGCGGTGTTTGATCTTCTGCTCTTCTGTCAGTTTGCTGAGAATGATGGTTTCCAGGTTCATCCATGTCCCTACAAAGGACCCAAACTCATCCTTTCTGATGGCTGCATAATATTCCATGGTGTATATGTGCCACATTTTCCCTATCCAATCTATCGTCGATGGGCATTTGGGTTGGTTCCAGGTCTTTGCTATTGTAAACAGTGCTGCAATGAACATTCGTGTGCACGTGTCCTTATAGTAGAATGATTTGTAATCCTTTGGATATATACCCAGTAATGGGATTGCTGGGTCAAATGGAATTTCTATTTCTAGGTCCTTGAGGAATTGCCACACTGTCTTCCACAATGGTTGAACTAATTTACACTCCCACCAACAGTGTAAAAGTGTTCCTATTTCTCCACATCCTCTCCAGCATCTGTTGTCTCCAGATTTTTTAATGATCGCCATTCTAACTGGCGTGAGATGGTATCTCAATGTTGTTTTGATTTGCATTTCTCTGATGACCAGTGATGATGAGCATTTTTTCATATGTTTGTTGGCCTCACGTATGTCTTCTTTTGTAAAGTGTCTGTTCATATCCTTTGCCCACTTTTGAATGGGCTTGTTAGTTTTTTTCTTGTAAATCTGTTTTACTTCTTTGTAAATTTTAGATATCAGCCCTTTGTCAGATGGGTAATCTGCAAAAATTTTTTCCCAATCTGTTGGTTGCCGATTCACTCTAATGATTGTTTCTTTTGCTGTGCAGAAGCTCTGGAGTTTGATTAGGTCCCATTTGTCTATTTTGGCTTTTGTTGTCAATGCTTTTGGTGTTTTGGTCATGAAGTCCTTGCCTACACCTACGTCCTGAATGGTTTTGCCTAGATTTTCTTCTAGGGTTTTTATGGTGTTAGGTCTTATGTTTAAGTCTTTAATCCATCTGGAGTTAATTTTAGTGTAAGGTGTCAGGAAGGGGTCCAGTTTCTGCTTTCTGCACATGGCTAGCCAGCTTTCCCAACAACATTTATTGAACAGGGAATCCTTTCCCCATTGCTTGTTTTTGTCTGGTTTGTCAAAGATCAGATGGTTGTAGATATGTTGTGTTGCCTCCGAGACCTCTGTTCTGTTCCATTGGTCTATATCTCTGTTTTGGTAACAGTACCATGCTGTTTTGATTACTGTGGCCTTGTAGTATAGTTTGAAGTTTGGTAGTGTGATGCCCCCCACTTTGTTCTTTTTGCTTAGAATTGACTTGGCTATGCAGGCTCTCTTTTGGTTCCATATGAGTTTAAGGTGGTTTTTTCCAGTTCTGCGAAGAAGGTCATTGGTAGCTTGATGGGGATAGCATTGAATCTATAAATTACTTTGGGCAGTATGGCCATTTTCACGATATTGATTCTTCCTAACCATGAACATGGAATGTTTCTCCATCTGTTTGTGTCCTCTCTTATTTCGTTGAGCAGTGGCTTGTAGTTCTCCTTGAGGAGGTCCTTTACGTTCCTTGTTAGTTGTATTCCTAGGTATTTTATTCTCTTTGTGGCAATTGTGAATGGAAGTTTGTTCTTCATTTGGCTCTCTTTAAGTCTGTTATTGGTGTATAGGAATGCATGTGATTTTTGCACATTGATTTTGTATCCTGAGACTTTGCTGAACTTGCTTATCAGTTTCAGGAGGTTTGGGGCTGAGACGATGGGGTCTTCTAGATATACAATCATGTCGTCTGCAAATAGAGACAATTTGACTTCCTCCTTTCCTATTTGAATGCCCTTTATTTCTTTTTCTTGCCTGATTGCTCTGGCTAGAACTTCTAATACTATATTGAATAGCAGTGGTGAGAGCGGGCATCCTTGTCTGGTGCCACATTTCAAGGGGAATGCTTCCAGTTTTTGCCCATTCAGTATGATATTGGCTGTTGGTTTGTCATAAATAGCTTTTATTATTTTGAGATACGTTCCATCGATACCTAGCTTATTGAGTGTTTTTAGCATAAAGGGCTGTTGAATTTTGTCAAAGGCCTTCTCTGCATCAATTGAGATAATCATGTGGTTTTTGTCTTTGGTTCTGTTTATGTGGTGAATTACGTTTATAGACTTGCGTATGTGGAACCAGCCTTGCATCCCCGGGATGAAGCCTACTTGATCATGGTGGATAAGCTTTTTGATGTGCTGTTGCAATCGGCTTGTCAGTATTTTATTGAAGATTTTTGCATCTATGTTCATCATGGATATTGGCCTGTAGTTTTCTTTTCTTGTTGAGTCTCTGCCGGGTTTTGGAATCAGGATGATGTTGGTGTCATAAAATGATTTGGGAAGAATTCCCTCTTTTTGTATTGTTTGGAATAGTTTCAGAAGAAATGGTACCAGCTCCTCTTTGTATGTCTGGTAGAATTCAGCTGTGAACCCATCTGGACCTGGGCTTTTTTTGGGTGGTAAGCTCTTAATTGCTGCCTCAACTTCAGACCTTGTTATGGGCCTGTTCAGGGTTTCGGCTTCTTCCCGGTTTAGGCTTGGCAGGAGGCAAGTGTCCAGGAATTTATCCATTTCTTCCAGGTTTATTAGTTTGTGTGCATAGAGTTGTTTGTAATAATCTCTGATGATGGTTTGAATTTCTGTGGAATCTGGTGATATCCCCTTTATCGTTTTTTATTGCATCAATTTGGTTATTCTCTCTTTTCTTTTTTATTAATCTGGCTAGTGGTCTGTCTATTTTGTTGATCTTTTCAAAAAACCAGCTCCTGGATTTATTTATTTTTTGAAGGGTTTTTTGTGTCTCTATCTCCTTCAGTTCTGCTCTGATCTTAGCTATTTCTTGTCCTCTGCTAGACTTTGAGTTTTTTTGATCTTGCTCCTCTAGCTCTTTCAGCTTTGATGATAGGGTGTCAATTTTTGATCTCTCCTTGCTTCTCATGTGGGCACTTATTGCTATATATTTTCCTCTAGAGACTGCTTTAAATGTGTCCCAGAGATTCTGGTATGTTGTGTCTTCATTCTCGTTGGCTTCGAAGAACATCTTTATTTCTGCCTTCATTTCATTGTTTATCCAGTCAACATTCAAGAGCAGGTTGTTCAGTTTCCATGAAGCTGTGCGGTTCTGAGTTAGGTTTTGAATTCTGAGTTCTAACTTGATTGCACTGTGGTCTGAGAGACTGTTTGTTACGATTTCCGTTCTTTTGCATTTGCTGAGGAGTGATTTACTCCCAATTATGTGGTCAATTTTAGAGTAGGTGTGATGTGGTGCTGAGAAGAATGTATATTCTGTGGATTTGGGGTGGAGAGTTCTGTAAATATCTATTAGGTTTGCTTGGTCCAGGTCTGAGTTCAAGTCCTGGATATCCTTGTTAATTTTCTGTCTGGTTGATCTGTCTAATGTTGACAATGGGGTGTTAAAGTCTCCCACTATTATTGTGTGGGAGTCTAAGTCCCTTTGTAAGTCATTAAGAACTTGCCTTATGTATCTGGGTGCTCCTGTATTGGGTGCGTATATATTTAGGATCGTTAGCTCTTCTTGTTGCATTGATCCTTTTACCATTATGTAATGTCCCTCTTTGTCTCTTATGATCTTTGTAGCTTTAAAGTCTAATTTATTAGAGATGAGAATTGCAACTCCTGCTTTTTTTTGCTCTCCATTTGCTTGGTAAATCTTCCTCCATCCCTTTATTTTGAGCCTTTGTGTATCCTTGCATGTGAGATGGGTTTCCTGGATACAGCACACTGATGGGTTTTGTCTTTTTATCCAATTTGCCAGTCTGTGTCTTTTGATTGGGGCATTTAGTCCATTTACATTTAGGGTTAATATTGTTATGTGTGAATTTGATACTGCCTTTTTGGTGCTAGCTGGCCGTTTTGCCCTTTAGTTGAGCTGGTACTTGTTGTTCCTTTATATGTGTAGAGCCTCTTTCAGGAGCTCTTGTAGAGCTGGCTTGGTGGTGACGAAATCTCTGAGTACTTGCATGTTCCCAAAGGATTTTATTTTTCCTTCACTTATGAAGCTTAGTTTGGCTGGATAGGAGATTCTGGGTTCAAAGTTCTTTTCTTTAAGGATGTTGAATATTGGCCCCCACTCTCTTCTGGCTTGTAGGGTTTCTGCTGAGAGATCTGCTGTGAGTCTGATGGGCTTCCCTTTATGGGTGACCTCACCTTTCTCTCTGGCTGCCCTTAGTATTTTCTCCTTCATTTTGACCCTGGTGAATCTGACGATTATGTGCCTTGGGGTTGCTCTTCTTGACGAATATCTTTGTGGTGTTCTCTGTATTTCCTGGGCTTGAATGTTTGCCTGCCTTGCTAGGTTGGGGAAGTTTTCCTGGATAATATCCTGCAGAGTATTTTCCAGCTTGGATTCATTCTCTTCGTCGCATTCGGGTATGCCTATCAAACGTAGATTAGGTCTTTTCACATAGTCCCACATTTCTTGGAGATTTTGTTCATTCCTTTTTACCCTTTTTTCTTCAGTCTTGCCTTCCCATTTTATTTCATTGAGTTGATCTTCGACCTCTGATATCCTTTCTTCTGCTTGGTCAGTTCGGCTGTTGATACTTGTGCATGCTTCGTGAAGTTCTTGTGTTGCGTTTTTCAGTTCCATCAATTCACTTATATTCCTTTCTATTTTGTCTATTCTTGTTAGCATTTCGTCAAATCTTTTTTCAAGGTTCTTAGTTTCTTTGCATTTGGTTAGAACATGTTCTTTAAGTTCACAGAAGTTTCTTACTACCCACCTTCTGAAGTCTGATTCTGTCATTTCATCACACTCGTTCTCCATCCAACCTTGTTCCCTTGCTGGTGAGGAGTTGTGATCCCTTGTAGGAGGAGAGGTGTTCTGGTTTCGGGTGTTTTCATCCTTTTTGCCCTGGTTTCTTCCCATCTTTAAGAATTTATCCACCTGTCGACTTTGTAGTTGCTGGCTTTCAGATTGGGTCTCAAATCTTTCAGATTGACGTTCAGTTTGTTGATGATGAGGTTATTTCTGTTTCTTGGTTTTCCTTCTGACAGTCTGGCCCCTCTGCTGTAGGTCTGCTGAGGTTCACTCCAGGCCCTGCTTGCCTGGGGTTCACCTGCAGCAGCTGCTGAACAGCAAGGGTTGTTACCAGTTTTCTTCTTCTGCTATCTTTGTCCCAGAAGGATACCCGCCTAGTGTCAATCTGATCTCTCTTTTATGAGGTGTCTTTTTGGATATATAGCGGTCAGGGAGCTGCTTGAGGAGATGGTCTCTTCTTTATAGGAGCTCAAATGGTGAGCTGCAAGCTCTGTTGTTGTTCATTCAGAGCTGCTGGGCAGGTACTTTTAGGTCTGCTGCAGGAGAACTCATAAACTGCTTTTTGTTCCCTGGTGCTCTGTCCCAGGGATTTAGGGCTTTATTTATGAGTTTCCGTTATGCTGCCGCCTTCTTTTTTTTTTTTTTTTTCCTTCAGACCTGCCCAGCCCAGCAAGGAGGCAGCCTAGTCACTGTCGGCCTATAGCACCTTTGCTGAGCTGCTGTGGGCTCCGCCCTGCTGCCGAGTGAACTTCCCTGCACTCCTGTTTATATGGGTGTAGTTAGAACTGCTTTGGCGATGGTGGCCCGCCTCTGTTGGGGCGGAGTCTCTGCTGTGGCGGGTTGCCTTGGCAACGGCGGGCTGCCTCAGCAATGGCGGGTTGCCTTTGGCAATGGCGGGCTGTCTCGGTAATGGCGGACACCCCTCCCCCACAGAGCTGGGCCATCCCGGGTTCAGCTGCGCTTGCTGTGAAACTCTCAATCCAGAGTTTCTGATTGCTGTTCCTTTGTGGGGGTGAGACCAGCCGAGCCTGATCGCCTGCCTCAGAGCCTTTTTTAAGTTGGTGTTCCAGTCGCCTGTTGAAGAGGTGCCGGGGTCTGTTTGTTTTCCCCTGCGGCCACTCACTGCGCTGGCTTAAACAGCGGCACTGAGGTTTATGGCTTTTTTTTTTTTTGCCCTGGAATCTACTGTCCTGGTTCTCTGCTCAGTCCCCTTTTTGAACCAGCGTATGGGCGACTTCCCGTGGCTCCAATCGCCAGCCAAAAGGGCCCCTGGACCAGTGTATTTTGTACGGAGAACCGCGGCTCCGGGGCGCCGACAAAGCAGCTACGCGGGGCAGAGCAGCGGTGCTGGCCGCAACAGCTGCACTGGCGACCGTGGAGCTCCTTAGCCCGGGAATTTCCTAGTCTGTGGGCAATAAAAACGCAGCGTCCACTCACCCTCTGCGCTTTCACTGGGAGCTGCAATCCTGAGCTGTTCCTAAACGGCCATCTTCTTGTTTATCAATTCTAATCATTTTTTTGGTGGAATCTTTAAGTTTTTCAAAATATAAGATTATATTATTTAAAGACATGGATAATTTGACTTCTTTTCTTCCAATGTGTATGCCGTTTATTTCTTTCTCTTGTCTATTGGCTCTAGCTAGGACTTTCAGTACTATGTTGAATAACAGTGGTGAAAGTGGGCATCCTAGGCCGGATACAGTGACTCATGCCTGTAATAACAGCACTTTGGGAGGCCCAGTTGGGTGGATCACCAGAGGTCAAGAGTTCGAGACCAACCAAACCAACATGGTGAAACACCATCTCTACTAAATATATACAAATAAGCTGGGCGTGGTGACAGGCACCTGTTATCCCAGCTACTTGGGAGGCTGAGGCAGGAGAATCACTTGAACCTGGGAGACAGAGGTTGCATTCTTGGAATAAATCTCACTTGGTCATGATGGATGAATTTTTTAATGTGTTGTTGGAATTTGGTTTACTAGTATTTTGTTGGGGATTTTTGCATCAAGGATTAGCAGAGATATTAAACTAGTTTTTTCTTATTGTATCGTTGACTGGTTTTGGTGTCAGGGTTATAATCATTTTTTCCTCTTGCTTAGTCGACTCCTTTATCATTATTACCTTCTTTGATTCTTTTCATATTTTTCTTCTTGAAATCTGTAATATTTGTCTAAGTATAGCAATTCATGCTTTTTTTGTTTTCATTTGCATGAAATATCTTTTTCCATTCCTTTATATTGTCTTTATATGTCTTTATAGGTGAATTGAGTTTCTTATAGGCAGAATTTTGTTGGATCTTGCTTTTTAATTAACTCAGCCACTTTGTCTTTGATTGGACAGTTCAGTCCACTTACATTCAATGTTATTATTTATAAGTAGGATTTATTACTGTTATTTTAAAATTTGTTTTCTAATTGTTTTGTGATTTTCTCTTCCTTTTCTGTCTTCTTAGGTATAAAAGTGATTTTTTTCTGGTGGTATTTTTTAATTTCTTGCTTTTTATTTTTTGTTTATCTGTTACTGATGTTTGATTTGAGGTTACCATGAGACTTACAAATAATCTTTTATTACCAATTATTTTAAATTGTTGACAACTCTGATTGCAGTAGTAACAAAAAACAAGCAAAGAGAAAACTAATAAAAACTCTATACCTCAACTTCTTCTATCCCCCCCACCCCGAGTTTTTAATAGTCTTGGCTCACTGCAATCTCTGTCTCCCAGGTTCAAGCAATTCTTGTGCCTCAGCCTCCCGAGTAGCTGGAATTGCAGGTGTGCACCACCACACCCAGGTAATTTTTGTATTTTTAGTAGAGATGAGGTTTTGCCATGTTGGCCAGGCTGGACTTGAACTTCTGACCTCAAGAAGTCTGCCACCTTAGCCTCCCAAAGCACTGGGATTACAGGCATGAGCCACCATGCCTGACCTCAAATAAACTTTCTACTCTGAACTCTCCTTCTATCTCCTCTTTAAAGTCAATAACTGTTAGATTTGCCCTTTTGAGACTATTTTCTAAATCTCGTAGGCATGCTTTATTAGAATTTTTTTTCTCCTGTGACTGTATTTTCATATAGCCTGTCCTCATGCTTACTAAATCTTTCTTCTGCTTGATCATGTCTGCTGTTGAGACTCTGATGCATTTTTCAGTTTGTCAGTTGAATTTTTCAATTACAGAATTTCTGTTTGATTTTAAAATGACTTCAATATTTGCAATTTTTTTTCTGATAGGATTCTGAATTTCTTCTCTGTGTTATCTTGAAGTTTGTTAAGCTTCCTCAAAACAGCGGTTTTGAATTCTCTGTCTGAAAGGTTGCATATCTCTGTTGCTTCAGGATTAGTCACTGTTGCTATATTTAGTTCAGTTAGTGAGGTCATTTTTTCCTGGATGTTCTTTATGTTTGTGAATGTTCATTGGTGTCTGGGCATTGAAGAGTTCAGAATTTATTCTAATCTTTGCTGTCTAGGCTTATTTGTACTTTTCCTTCTTAAGAACACTTTCCAGGTATTCAAAAAGGAAATGAGTTTGGTTTTGATTTAAGTCTTTGGTCACTGCGTTTATTTCTGCACTAGAAATCACCTCAAGCCCAGCAATACTGTGACTCTTGGAGACTGTAAGAGGTACTGCCTTGGTGGACTTCAGTAATATCCAGGAGAATTCCCTAGAATACCAGGAAGAGTCTCTTGCTCTCTTCCCTCACTTTCACCCAAACAAAAGGATCCTCTCTCTGTGCTGGGCATTCTGGAGTTGAGGGAGGAGTGACACAAGCTCTCCCATGACCATCACAGCTAGGATCGCACTAGGTCACATCTGAAGCCAGCACAGAACTGGATTTCCTCCCAGTGGTATGGCTACTACTGCCTTGCTGCCACTGATGTTTATTCAAGGCTTAGGAGCTCCTTATTCGGTATGTGGTGAATCCTGCCAGTAGGCAGAAGATTCCCTTTTGACCCAGGATGGCACCAGAACTGTCATCCAGGAGTTAGGACCTGAAATCAGTGGCTTCAGGGCTCTATTTAGTGCTTTATTTTACTGTGTCTGAGCTGGTACTCAAATTGCAAGACAAAGTCCTTTTTATATTTTCCTCTCCTTTTTGCAAGGGGAAGGAGTTGCTCCCTGAACTATACTGCTTAGAGTTAGGGAAGAGGTGATATAAACATTCACATAGTTGCCCCAGATGGTGTCTCTGGCTTGAATGCACCTCAGCTCCACTATTCTGAGCCTAGCACACCACGAGTCCTTGTAGTACTGGAGCCCAGCTTCAATCCTTGTGGCTTAGACTGCCTTTCAAATTTATTCAAGTTCCTAGGCCACTTTAGTCCAATAGAAATGAGGTTAGTAAGAACTCAAGTTCATACTGCTAGAGTGGAGGATTACCCTCTGGCTGGGGCTGCTCAAAATGCTTCCTCCTTGCATGCCAGCCAAATTTTGCCCTCTCTTGTGTTCTGATGTGACAGGGAAGCACTGAGTTCCAATGCAAAGTCCCGCAAATCACTTTGCTCTCCCTCCTCTACGTGTACACATTCTCTATCTGTGCTCACTGCTGGGGAATGGCAGAGGGGGGTTGTCAGCAATTCAAGACTGTCCTTTCTACCCTCTTCTGTGCCTCTTGCCTTAATATCATATTAAAATCAGCTACTATTATTGCTCACTTGATTTTTGGCTCTTATGAAGGTGCTTTCTTGTATGGATAGTAGTTTTATCTGGTGTTCCTGCATAGAGATGAACACTGAAGGGTTCTTTTTGGCCATCGTGCTCTGCCTTCCTGTGATTACCTGTTTGATAAATAAGGCCTTTTTCACATCTATGGTATAAAAATAACCTTCCACATTTTCCCCTAAGCTTCTGTAGTTTTATTTTTTTCAAATTAAAACTCTATAAATCTTTTGGTATAGTGCAAGCTGAAAGGTCTAATTTTATGTATTCAAAATGCATAGCTGCTTGCCCCCAAATTATTTACCAAGTAATTTATCCTTTGTACTCTGATTCATAGAGCCACCTTTATCATGTAATAAATTTCTGCTAAAACACAGTTTGCTTTCCTAGATTCTTTAGTTTGTACCTTTAGGTATCTGTTGTTCACAGTGTCAGAACCTTACTATATTTATTAGACTAGTTCTAATATTAAGTATTAAATATCCATGTAAACCTTGGCAATAAAAGCATAGTAATAGGTTATTATCTGTCCTGGGATTTGACTTTACCCAACTTAACTAATAAGTTAAACTGTTACTACCTCATAGAATCCAACAGTAGACATGTGACTCCTGGGTCAAAGGAAAAGACGTTTATTACTCACAGCACGTGAGGCAGCCTGAGAATCAGCATATTTGCATCCATTTCCTTTTGTCCCTGACTCCCATGGGGGTGATACAATATGGGCTTAGATTTATGCTGTACACATAGTGAGTTTGAGTCACAGGTGAGGAACACTGAGCTTGTAGGTCCACCTCTTTTATAGCAGCATTAAGCAAACTCCGTTTCGTTCTAGAGGGAGATAATATGTCAACCCTTGAGGCTGCCTGTTGCAAACATAAGCTTGAGAAATAGCCAGGATAAAGAGTGGCCAAGGCCTTGCATTGTTGACATAAACAGCAAGATGTGTGAGAGAATATTATATTATGAACTGTTTCTTTAAATGATGCTAAATATATAGAGCTTGTGTAGAAAACAAGTAAAAATTGAAAATGCACCCACCGAGGCAAATTTTAGCCAGTTGACTGAGAGCTGGAAGCTGCCCATTTGGCAACCTCTCTAACTCTTGGGCCTATCTCTAATCCAACCCAAAGAGACTCTTATGGAGAAGGACTACTTATCAGGCCTTCTACATTAAAGATGAAGAAAATTAGGTTCAGAAAAATAAATACTGTGCCTAGGGTTGGGGCCAGTAGTGATTGCTACAGTACTAAATAAAAATACCCTTTTCACCAAGTTTGTTTTCAGTAACTCCTTTTAAACATTTCGACTTTAACACAACGTCCTCTTAATGTATCCATGTTGTCACAAGTAGCAGCATTTCAAAATCTTTTTTTAATAGCTGAAAAATAGTCCATGGTCTATGCATACCACATTTTCTTTATCCATTCATCCATTGATGGATACAGGTTGATTCCATATATTGGATATTGTGACTAATGCTACAATAAACATGGACATGTAAATGCCATATTACGTCCCTTGTGTAATTTTAGAAAGTTGATATCACAGAAGTGGAGAGTAGGATGGTGGTTACCAGGACCTGACATGTTTGGTGTGGGAGTCGGGGAGATGTTAGTTAAGGATACAAAATTTCAGTTAGAAGGAATAAGCTCAAGTGTTTTATTCTGTAACATGGTGACTATACTTAATAATATGTTATATTCTTGAAAAAAATGCTAAAAGAGTAGATAAAGTATTCTCACCACAAAAAATGATTACTATGTAAGGTAAAACATATGTTAATTACCTAGATGCAGTCTTTTCACAATGTATGCATACTTCAAAACATTATGTTGTGCATTATAAATACATACAACTTGCTACTTCTTAAAAATTCAGTAAAAAAATTTTTTTTCAAGTTTTTTACTTTCCTGAAGAAAGGAAACAATAGGAAAACTTGTGAAACAAATAACTCAATCTTATATTCAAATAAGAACATCTCTAGTAGAAAACACATGTTCTATAATTTAATGTATACTAACATTTTAATATATACTAACATTTTCTTGCTTTATTATGTGTGACATAAGCCCACATATTATTAAAATGTTAGTATGATTTTTAAAATAAATTCCTTAGCATTTCTCCTAGTCAGCCAGATTTTTGGACATGACTCTGAGATTACCTCTTGAATTATAGAAATCTGCCTAATCAGATGGAAAAACAGTATTCCTGATCTAAATATGACAGTCTGTACTACTGATGATGAAATTTACATGGTAGTTTCATGTTACTTAATGTAGGTCTATCATACTATTGGAGAAAAAAGGATAATACTAGATATTAAAAATGTATTATTTTATTGAAATAATACATTTTTCTTTAATGTTAATGTGGGGGAAAATGATATACATGTATGTATATGTGTGCATATGTATGTGTGTGTGTATGTGAGCATGTGTATGTGCGCGTGTGTGTGTTAATTATATGTAAGATGTGAAAACAAAAATTTCTCTGGGAAGAGTTTAGGACTGAAAACACCACAAGGTTTAATTTGGGTGGATGATATGACAGCGTCATGTATTAACGTATAGGACTGAATCACATCTGCCTTGTCAACTTTGAAGAGTAAGGTGTAGTGGCAAGGGGAAATATAAGAAGCAGGAGTAGTATTTGAATGAAAATGGCTCATATATGAAATTAACCTCGGGGATAAAAATAACTTCTGATCTGTATGTGTGGAATGCCTAAAGTTGGACTTAAATATATTTTGCTTCTCTGTTGTGTTTTTCTAACTATTAAAAAACATGTTTATGGCCGGGCGCGGTGGCTCAAGCCTGTAATCCCAGCACTTTGGGAGGCCGAGGCGGGTGGATCACGAGGTCAAGAGATCGAGACCATCCTGGTCAACATGGTGAAACCCCGTCTCTACTAAAAATACAAAAAATTAGCTGGGCATGGTGGCACGTGCCTGTAATCCCAGCTACTCAGGAGGCTGAGGCAGGAGAATTGCCTGAACCCAGGAGGCGGAGGTTGCGATGAGCCGAGATCGCGCCATTGCACTCCAGCCTGGGCAACAAGAGCGAAACTCCGTCTCAAAAAAAAAAAAAAAAAAAAAAAACCATGTTTATAAACAGGTATGAAAAGACATCATCTTAAAATATCAATTTGGAAAACTACAGAA